TTTAATTAAAAATAAAAATAAATATTCTATTGAACAAGAGTTTTAAACTTGAATATATTTTTTGAATTGAAAAAAATAAATGTATTATTTATCTATATTTTTTAGTTTTTAAATCTAACTCTAAAAATAATAAATAAAAAATATGATATATTCTAGTTGGTTTTTGTTTTCAAAAACAGATATAGATGTAACAATACATAGGCATAAAATCTTTACTACTGCTTTGTTCATGGTTTTGGTGGTTTGAATTATTTTTATATTTTAAGGACTATAGATTGTAATACTTTACGTGGATGAACCATGCTGTGATTGTAATATGTGGCTCAGACATGCAGTGATTGTAATATTTTAAAATTTCAAACTTTCTTTCTTTGGATGAGGCATGCAGTGATTGTAATATTTTTTTTTCGGAAGTGCACAATTTGAATTATCTTAAAAATTTATAAAATTTTAAACCGCCAAACCGATTCGTATCCATCCGTCAGTCAGCTCAATCCACATTCCGCTAGATTGGTAGACGGATACGGATTAATTTTATCCAATTCGTCAATTTGGCGGATGGGTGGAGGATTAGAGATTCCGTAGCCGTAATCGACCCACGCCTACCCCTAGCCGTGTATGAAACGAAGAAGAGAGAAAGAGTGAGGGAAAGAAGAGTGTGAGTGTTTAGGATTTAGACAATGTTATATATGATTTATATACAAAAGGGTATGTTGGTCATTTTATATATGCTTGTCCTTACAAGCAAAGAAAAGTAATGCCTAAATCTTTAGAACAAAAAAATTTGAATTTAAATTTCTGAACCGAGTGTCCTAAAATGTAAGTGATTAAAGTGAAAATAAGAGGAAGAAAAGTATAATCAACCTTGTAAATTATTTTCTTATATGAGGGAGTAATATTTAGAGGTATTTTGAAAAGATGATTAAAAATTATTTTTTTAAAAAATATATACTCCCTCCGTCCCATAATATTAGTCCCTTATTCCATTTTTCATTGTCCCAAAATATTAGTCCTTCTTCAAAAATCAAGTACAAAAATAATATAAATTTCCCATTTTGCCCTTCTTTTAAATTCATAAATAATATAAAAAGTACAATTATGACATTGATATTCTCAAAAAAGTATACTATAAAAGGGTAATTTTAGAAAACCAACTTTTTAAAAGTACAATAATTGTACTACCAAAAAAAGTTTGATTCCCCAAAAGGGACCATTATTTTGGGACAGAAGGAGTATATAAAAAATATAAAAAATAATATAATTTAAAATAAATTAAAAATTAAAAAGTAACTTTTAATAATGTGGCCCACCCACGTTATTTCCAAAAAGGTCTTAATTTTGATATAAATAACTGACATTGTGAACATTCTATCCAAGTCAAAGGACACATGGGAATGACGTGGGTGGGCCACGCGGCAAAGCTATCTGACATTAGCCAGCGGTACAAGATAGACCACGTCACGTGATCACATGTAACAACTGCACCTAAAACACTAGGTACAAGGTTAGTTTTTATTTTTTATCATCAAGTACTAACTACACGTATATATTCTAAATATAGAGTGATTTTATTTGCCCTATAAATTTAAAATTTTGACATGTGATAGTTAAGTAGTTTTTATCATATTATTCTACGGATTCCCTTTATATAATACAAAAATTTTATTATTGCATATCATATAAGTCAGGTGGAGAAAATTATAAAATTGGATAAATACTTTTTATTTTTTAATTTTACTTTGATCACTTACCTTTAATTGAAATAAAAAAAATTAGATTTCAACTCGAGTTTCAATATAATATTTTTATTATTTCACTATTTAAAGTTTGAATAAAAATTGAAATATGATTGATCAAAATTGAATTTGAGTGGGATGTGAAGGGAAATGTTGAAATCCATTACTAACACTTTATGATTTTTTGTAATGCATGTTACATATTTTATAGAATTGCGATAGTTTATGATTCAAAATAAAATTACATATATTTTTATAATGTTATATATTTTGTAATTACAAATATTTGAATAATAAAAAAGAAGATAAATAAGTATGAATAAAGCCACCGACTCAAAAACACGTGCCACCAAAAAATAGCATATTCTACAACATCGGCTTTGTTTGGTTTGTTTTTCAGAAAAAATTTTGAAAAAAATTCTCTACAAATAAATTTTCAAGAGTAATCAAACAAAACAAATTTTTTCAAAAAAAATTTCAAAATTTTGTTTGGTTACTTACTTTCCAAAATCACTCTCTCTCTCATACACATCAAATCAATCATTTTTTTAAAACTCTCTCCTTAAAATAATTTTCCAAAATCATTTCTGAAAAAGGCAAACCAAATAAGTTTTCGTACTTTTTATCTCAAAAACTACTTTACAAATACAAACTAAACACACCCTAATGGTAAGGGCATTTTCAATGATTTATCAAAAATTTCATCAAATTTGAGTAAAAATTTAACGAATTCCTCTATCTAATATCAAGTTCTCCAACAGTGAATTTTTAGCTATCAACAAAATACAGGTCGTCTGGAGGACGACGGGCCAGTCGTTCAACCGGTCGACAGGCAAGTGCAAGCTGAAAAATTTGTAACAACTTTTCTGGGTGTGATTGTGGAAGTTCTTTGAACATGCTCTCTCTTTTTCTTTCTCTTTCTCTGGCTTATTTTGGGTTGCTGCAGTGCCTTTGCTTTTCAGCTGTCTCTTCTGTCTCAACCGAAGATCTTCGACAACCTTCAGCTTCTCTTTCATAGTAAGTGTGGGGATATATTTTCTGAGTACCAACACGTGGCAAGGTGGCACCGACGTGTCAGCCGAGGTGCCACGTGTCCTGGTTGTGACGCCGAAGTGATCTCGGCAAGGCCAAGGTTATCTCCGAAGATATCGGAATCCGAGATAAGTGGATAAGGGACAAGAGTCCTAGAATGAAAAGGGAACTCAACCTGGATGAGGGACAAAAGTCCTAGCATGAGAGAAGACTTTAGTTTGTATTAAGATAAGACTCTTAGAGAGTTTATCCTAATCTTACTGTGAGTCCAAGATTAGCAGTAATCCTGAGTCTATAGAAGTTAAGCTTCTATTAGGACTAGGTTTATGTTGGCTATAAAAGAGAGGCACCCCCATGGGTCTAAGGTATGCTTTTGATACTTAAGCTTGTAAGTTTAGCACTTGATTTATCTTTGAGAGATATACTGACTTGGTCGGAGTGCCCCCAGGTGGACGAACCACTGCCGAAATCTTCTCTTTCTGTTGCAAGTCAGTCAGGTGCCATCTATTCTGCCAGTGCTCTCTAGCTGAATTACTGAGTTGGCAGTGTGGTCGAAAAATTTCCCACACAGTAAGCCAAAAACATTTTTAAAATCTTGTTCTTCTTGTTCTCTGAACTAAGAGCCCCTTTTCAGTTGATGGGTAGGTATCATTAGTACTAGTTTTTGTCCTTCTGTGTTTTGGGTTTCTTTTACTTTCAACTCTTCTATTTTGAATTCAATTACAGTCTTGTTTCAATATCACAAAACAATTTTTTTTTTTAAATTGCCCTTTTTGGTTTCCTGTTTTCTTTTAACATTCTCTGATTACTGTTCTGTTTTTTATCTCACTTTTCAATAGGTTTTTCAATTTCATTGAATATCACAACAAATTTCAAAAAATAAATAAATAAATAAAAATGTCCCTTTTGGTTTCTCTGTTCCAATTTTCTTTCACATTTGCCTAATTTTGGCTCATAATATTCCTAATCTTTTCTGGGAATCGACCAAAACACCTTGTGTTTTTACATGCGTTAGTGCTTGTTTCACATTTCTTTTAGTCTTTCTTTGAACTTTCTCTGATTTTGAATTTCTCTAACATGGTCATTATTAGCAGTAGCTTGTTGAGCTCTACTACCTGCCAAGATTCATTTCTGGGTGAAAACCCTTGTTTTTCAATGCCTCCTTAAGCTTTGTTGTGTTCTCATAGGAGAGATTGAAATTCTCCATCTACGTTTTCTAAGAGTGATGCATATTGAAGTCTCCAACAATGGCTACTTTGGTCTATGGTGTCTAATCCATACATGTTGAACATGATGACAGTAGCACTAATGGTGTACAGGTATAAAAAAAAGATGCAGATGTGGTCATCCGAGTGGCCGATCGATCAATGTAAATTTTTCACAATTTTTTGCCTTAAGGTAGTCTTATGGGAGGACATTAGGCCGGACGTTTCGGTGGGTCACCACTCAACGACTATGCATAGTAAATTGCTGAAAGGTGCAAGACATCCTCAATTTCGTAAAAATTTTGAAGTGTCCTTAATTTGATGTCATTTTGATAAAACCGTTGGAGACAAAAAAATGTGTCATTTTCACCAATTTCAAATTTGGTGATGATTCTGATGAACCGTTGGAGATAGCCTAACATGAATGATTTGATTCAGCTGGGTATGATTAGTAACATGAATGCAGTGGTATTTATGGTGGTAACAACCTAATAGGGTATTTATAGGAATTTTTGTGTCGATTTTTTTATGAGAAAAAGTTTTATTTCCAAAAAAAAAATGCAAATTTGAATCTCATGTTCACCTATCAATTTGAGAAAATTTGAGTAGTGTCTGAGGGTTATCATGGATCTGTTTCAATCCGAACTACTCATTTATAAAACTCTCAATGTATATCTATGAGAAAAATTAGGTCAGTCCAATAATCATAACCTTTTAATTTTACTATGTTTTATCACTAAAAAAATAAATGACATAATTTCAAAAATACATTTTTCAAGTTTGTCTCATCAGATACTAATTCTCATCTTTGTCCCATCGGATACTAATTATAATTTTTTTTTTTCCTCATATTCTTCAGTGAACAAACCAAGAGATTGAGCTTGGGCCGAATGGTTAGATCAGGCCTGGTTAAAGCCCGAGTTCCATCTTCTCTGGTCTGAAATACTTGTAGCCAACCCAACTAGACTTGCTTGGGCCCTATTCACGGGCTTGTCACTGTTACATTAGAACCTTTCAAAATCCAGTCGTTCTGTTTTCGGTTAAACTCTCTCTCTCCTCTCCTCTGTCTGCTCTCTCTCTCTAGAAAATGAGACTTCATCTTCATCATCATCATCATCATCAACTCCTAACACTGACCCATCAATCTCCATACAAATCCATGCCTATTTCAATGGCTCTTTCTCTCCCTCCCATCAATCCCATCTCAAAATTTCCCTTCTCTCACTCTCTCTCCGCTTCTCGTGCAGTCCTCACCGGACCCAACTCTCAGCTTCATCTCCGCGCCGCCCGCTCTCGCCTCATCTGCAACGTGAATCGCTCAGGTCATCTTTCTTTCTCTTTCTCAGTACATGTATGTTGTGAATTTACAGTGAAATGAGATTTGTAGTATCATAGTGTTTGATAATTGAGGTTGAATTCAGTTGGGTTGTTCGCAATTGCATTTTATATGTGGTTAATTACTTTGATTAGGTAAAGGAATTGGTTTGTTCATGAACACATTGTTATGATTAGTTGGACTATGCTATGAATGATTGTTTTGTTATTGGCTGTTGAGTGGTCTAATTCTCATTGGAAATTTGACAAACACTTGGTGGGCGGCTAAGTTTATGTTTCCTAAGAGCATCTCCAATCCTTACTTCTTCTTATTATTATCATCAAATTTAAGTGAAAATTTGGTTAGAAGTTTGATCTTTGTATAGAACACTCCAATCCTTACTCTCTTTTTTTTTTTTTTCTTCATCAACTCTTTTGGAAAGATTCCAAACTTATTCCAAAATCCTATTAACTGTTTTTTATGAAAGAAAATCATCTCCAATCCTTATTGTTTTTTAAAATTTCATTAAATCTCATCAAATTTGAGTGAAAATATGGCTGAATGAAATTTGGTGAAAATTTTGTCACTCCCTTAATTTTATACAAGTTTGATGAAATGATTGGAGCTCACCTTTAGCTCTTTATTCATCAAATCTAAATTTGATGAAAGAATTGGTGAAGGATTGGAGATGCTCAAGAAAAGACAAGAACTAAGCAACTTATGCTAACTTGATAATCGATTGAGATAGTTTGGTCATATTTAACGGAGACCAACACAGAGGCAGTAGTGACAAGATAGCAATGCTATAATAGTGGATGAAAATGTTAGGGAACGGGGTAAGCCTAAATTAACGTTGGCTAGCGTTGTAAATAGAGATATGAATCTATTTAATTTGACTAATGAAATGGCCTTCGATAGGGTCGCGTGAAGAAGAAGGATTCATGTAGCCGACCCCATTTGATAGGACTTAAGGCTTGGTTTGGTTTGGTTACTGATTGGTTCATTTTAGGTTTTCTAGTTGATTTCTCTTCTTCACAGTCAGTCAATCTTCCACCTTGGCGTCGTCTACTGATCTACAGCTCCATTCAATGATGTATCGTTTTCATTGTGATAGAATATATACTTCCTCACTTCACATATAACTGAATCTCAATCCCTTAAAAAGGGTGGAATGTTTAAGCAATTTTATGGTACTTGTTCTAGATATGATATCGCAGCTGGAACTTGGGAAGCGAGAAGAGAAGAGGAAGCCAGAGAAGCGTGTAAATGGGATATTCTGGATCCTACTACTAAATCTTGGAATATTTGCGGCTGATCACTTGTTTCAGGTTCGGTAAATTTACCAAGGGCTATAGTCATAGTAATCCTTGTATTCAACTACTTTGACCATTACCAAGACATTTGAAGATTCGATCATTTATGTATGATTTGGTTTACTTTCCCCTTCTTTCACTCCCATCTAATTCTCCTCACTTGCCCTAATCAATTAGGTTTGGGATAAGAACTAGTCTTAGACAATAGAGGGCTGGGGACAAAGACCTTTCATTCGCAAGGCAAGACCCTCTATAGGCAGAGGTTCGAAGAGCCCCTGATGGTCAACCAAAATACTTTTGCCTCCTTGTTAGTGAAGTTTTATTTTTCCTATTTATTTATTTATTTATTTTCTGATGAAATATTAATGAAAGTAGGTAGAATACAACTGAAGGTTTAGGTGGAATGAAGGGCGGAGCAGCCTTCAGAGTCTCTCAACCTTAAATAGAGAACAAAATCACCCAAAAATTGTTTTGATAGAATATGACAGCTCACTGTATCAACATAATACATATTTGAATTTCGGAGATTGAAGATAATTCTAAAAGCTGATAACTTGATATAAAGATAAAAGTATTCTCCTAAAGAAACTGATTAAGTTCCACCGTGAGTCAATCTTGTATCATTTGGTTGGGATGCTTAAGCTAACACCAATTTTCTGTAATCTCTCAGGTTCGGAGTATCAAAGCCTTGTATTTGTACCATAATTGGCCTGCCTGGTACCAGTTTGTGACAGCGACATTCTGTCATGCTAATTGGTGAGACTTCTATACACTATAGGGACACATAGGAAACCAAAACCAAACCAAACCAAACCAATCCTTAAGTTCCATCAAATAGGATCGGCTATATGAATTTTTCTTTTCCAAGCGGCCCTGTCAAAGACCATTTCATTAATCAAATTAAGTAGATCCATATCTCTATTTACAACGCTTGCCAACGTTAATTTAGGCCTACCCCGTCTCCTAATACTTACATCTATCGTTACAATAGCGCATCTCTTCACTACTGCCTCTGTTGGTCTCTGTTGAATATGACCAAACCATCTCAATCGATTCTTTCTCAACTTATCTTCTATCAGTGCTACTCTTATCCATTCCCGAATACACACATTCCTAATTCTGTCTTGTCTAGTCTTGCCATACATCCACCTTAAGCATCCTTATCTCAGCCACACTCATCTTATCTACATGTTGTTTCTTGATTGCTCAATATTCCGTCCCATACAATATCGCTGGTCTAAGGGACACATAGGAAACGAGTCACAAAATTTAATAGAAAGAAACCATCTGTCTCTCTTTCTATATATGATGTTTGTTTCTAATAATTTGCGGTATATCCTTATCAGGAACCATCTCTCAAGCAACCTCTTCTTCTTGTATATTTTTGGTAAGGCTTTCATTGTTCACTTTGATTCCTGAAGTTTAAAGACAGGACACAATCTGATATATAGATTTTGGAATGTAATTTTATATTTATTTTACTAGAACAGGAAAGCTTGTCGAAGAGGAAGAAGGGAACTTTGCATTGTGGCTTTCTTATATCTTAACGGGTGCTGGAGCAAATCTTGTTTCTTGGTTGGTTCTCCCAAGAAATGCTGTTTCTGTTGGAGCATCAGGTGCTGTATTCGGACTCTTTGCAATTAGTGTCCTTGTGAAGGTAATTCAATTGTACATTCATTGATCTCATTTTGAAATCACTACCACTCCAGCCTGTAGAGGTGACAGTGAGGTGGTGGAGGTGTTAACACGTTATTCTAGAAAACATTTTTCACCTTTCAAACGTGAAAAACATTTTCTGCCCACATAAGCTTGTTTTTCATTGACCACAAAATATGCTTTCCGTTAACTTTTATTTTCCATTATGCCAAATGCCAAAAAATGTGAAAAAATGTTTTTCAAAAAATATTTCCTGTTCAAACAAACGGAGCGTACAGGTAAACTTGTCTACCAACTTGGTGCATACTGCAGATGTCTTGGGACTGGAGGAAGATCCTTGAAGTGCTCATATTGGGTCAATTTGTTGTAGAGAAGGTAAACAATTCATTATCTACATTATCTGAAACTCCAGTCAAGCGTCATCTATAGATCTAATATCAAGTTATTTTTTTGGGGCTTTCCTATCAGTCGAAATTTTCCTTCGATTTTCAATCAAACAAACTTAATATTGACTTGATTCCCTCTTCTTGGGTACATCAGGTGATGGAAGCAGCCCAAGCTTCAACAGGGTTGTCGGGCAGTTTCCGTGGAGGCTACGCCTTGCAGAATGTTAATCACATAGCACACCTCTCCGGAGCATTGATAGGCGTAGCTCTGGTATGGCTGCTGAGCAGAGTTCCTTCTCAACCTCCAGACCACGATGCATCGATTATGAAGAAGAAAACAGACTGAACTTGAAAATTTGAGCACAGCTACTCTATCCATTCATGAGATGAATTTCTGTAAAAGGTTGCATAATTATCTGCTTTTTTTTTTTTTTTTTTTTTATTTGTGTAATATGTTACAATCTTTCAGCCCACTTCTTTGTAAACATGCCAAAATTGAAAATTAAATACATTGAGGCACGTTTGGCATTTGTTTTCGTTTTCTTTTGTCAAAAATATAGTATAATAATAAATAAATAAGAAAACAGAACTTGTTTGTTAAACTGTTTCCAAAAACTATTATACCTTTTTTTTCCCCTTCCAAAAACACTCCTTTTTAGAAAAACAAAATAAAATTTTGAAAATTAAACGCACACAACAATGGAAAGAAATGGGTGTTTTCAAATTTTTATTTTTTTGTTTTGTGGAGTTGAATATCAAATTCATCTATATCTTGTCTAGTATAGATCATTGGTCTTACTCTAATGATAATATTAGGATCTTTCAATTTTAAACTAGAATAACGTGGGCTACGTTGTCATAATTTTAATGGATGTTCATTAAAATTTTCTTCTAGAATTTTATAAATCTAATGTGATTCATCAATAGTTTTGATGATGGGAGTTAAATCACCACGCGGCACGGGCGCAAACTATAGCGATCCCGGTTTCCCTTTTCATTGGTTGTTGTGTTCATCTCGTTTACATCCTTTACTCTTTGTATTTGAGTCTTGGGTTGTGTTGGGCAGGTGTATAACAGGTTGGTTGAGCTTAGGAACCAAGTGTAGTTGCCCAGATTTTGGCCTTCACGCTCGAGCGGGGATTTTGACGCTCGAGTGGGCTCTTCATTGTTGTCTGTCCGCTCGAGCGGGGTTTCCGAAGCTCGAGCGTAGTTTTTCATCTTCCAGTATCTCCTCTGTAGTGTTGTGCGCTCGAGCGGGAGTTTTGACGCTCGAGCGGGATGTTGTGTGTGACGCTCGAGCGGAGACCTGGTTCTGTAAAAGTTCTGGGAGTTCATGGGAGTGCGTCGAGCGGGATTGTTGACGCTCGAGCGGGAGTCTGTGACTCAGCCAGGAAACTCACACTTCCCAAACTTGGCATACAGCTATGGGCTCTAAGCGCAACTCAACACCACTCTCAAGTGTTCCTCGTGCTCCTCCTCTGAAGGGGGCGTAAATTAAGAATCAAGGATGTCGTCCACAGAAACGACTACAAATCGATCCAAGATTTCCCGAGGAAAATCTGGTTCATCAAGTCCATAAAGACTGCCGGTGCATTGGTAAGCCCAAATGGCATCACCAGAAAACTGCATTTAATGGCCATCACCGCGTACGGAATTGCAAGTCTTCGGGGATATCCTCCTCCCCTGAGACCCTCACTGTGGTTAACCCGATCTCAAGTCTTATCTTCAGAACAACGGGAACCCTTCAAGCTTGGTTCAAAACAAATATCTATACAGGGCCATAGGGTACTTATTCCCTTGACCCGTGAGCCGATTCAACTTTCGGTAGTCGATACACATCTCAAGGTACCATCTTTCTTCTTAGTTAAGAGGGCCGGTGCTCCCCACTGGTGAAACACTAGGGCGAACAAAACCTTTATCTACAACTCCTGGAGCTGAATCTTTCAACTCACTCAACTCGGCTGGGGCACAAAACGATAAGGTGCCATAAAATCGGCGCACGTGCCGGGCACTAGATCAATAGAGAACTCTATCTCTCGGTGAGGTGGCAAACTAACAAGGTCCTCGGAAAAACATCCGAATAACTTCACAAACCACCCTCAGTAACACAACCTGGGTTCATCACACTCACCACTCCTAAAGCTGGCAAGTAGCACTAATCTCACTCCGCCACTCACGAAATCATACCCCGGTTGGCAAAACACTACCAACCCGGTCTCCCAAGAAATGAGACCATCCCACTCAAGGTACATAACGTGGACCCTCTGGCGGTAGCAATCGATAACAGCCCGGGTATGACGATAGCCAGTCCTACCCAAAATAACATCAAAGCCCTTCATGGGCATGACCACAAATGAAAAAGGAAGCCTATGGTCGGCAACCTCTATATCACAAACCTCTAACACCTTGTTTCAAGATCAGTTCACCCAAGGGGTGACACTACACAAAATAGGAGATGCTAACTGTGCTAACTCCAACTCCAAAACAGATGCAAATGCAGCAGATACAAAAGAATGAGATGCACCCGTATCAATCAACACATTAGCAACCGAGTTGCAAAACAAAAAGGTACCTCTCACTACTGATGGAGCCGGTACTAGATCCTGCGCGGTAACAGCATACACGCGCCTGTAGGCCCCTGATCCACCTGCTTACCTCTAGGAGCAAACGACTGCTGTACAGACTGGGATGACGAAGCTCCCGATTGGCCTTCGAGGCTGCACAGATGAGCCGGCTGAAACTCTGCGTCTGCCTAGAACCAGACGCCTTGAAGTAGCACTCAACTGTGGGCAAAACCTCTTCAGGTGCCCAGGCTGACCACACAGATAACAAGACAAGGGCTGCCCTCTCCCAAACCCTGACTCTACGGTCTAGCTGAGAAGAAGCAGCTCTCTGACCTCCGCCCTTCTGCGGCAAACCGAAGACTTGTGACCCAGCTGGCCACAGGTGTAGCAAGTCAAACCTCCTGATTACCCTCCCAAGCCCGCACTCAGCACTGGAAAGGTCGACCTAGCCAAACCACCTTGAGACTGCTGAGGATTAGGACCCCTCGTTCCTGCCATCGCCTGGCCATCTTGGCTCCTCTTGGAGCCTCTCCGCCCCTCATCCTCCTCCTGCATCATGAGCTCCATATGAGCTGCAGCATCCACTAAAATGTCTATACTCTCGGATGTAAGACCCATCAACTCTCAGCTTGAGGCCCCGCCTCAACTTCCGTTCAAACTCATAGCAACGGCATTCTTCGGACGCCACCAACTCTGGTGCAAACCTGGACAAACTAGTGAAAGTGGCCTCAAACTCTGCCACAGGACATACCCTGCTGATTAAGCCGGCTAAACTGATCCCTCAGCTTCTCCTTAGCCACTGCAGATAGAACTTTCCTGGAAAGCATTTACAAACGCTCCCCATGTTCACCAACACGAGCCTTCTTGTACTTCCACCATTGACCCGCATCTCCCTTCAGCTGGAAGGATGCCAAGTCACTTTCAAAGCTCCGTCCTCGATCCAAGCATCTCGAACGTTTTACTCATCTGTTCTAACCACTCGTTCAGTCTTCAGTGGTTCTTTTGGATCCCCAACAAACTCATCCGGGTTAGACCGGAAGAATCCCTCTTCAAGAAAGAAGGCTGCCTCAGCTGCCTGATTCCAGCCCTGAGAATACCCAAAGCCCTGCTATCTCTCGTGCCAAGGCACTCATAGCCTGCTGGCCCGCTGGCTCGCCACGTTGGCTTGACCAACTCCTTCCTGCACTGTCGGAATATCATCCGGTAAAGTTACTTCCTGCCTCGCAGGCCTACCACGCCTAGCACCTCTTCTCGTCCTGACATCCTAATAAAGATAACCAAGACTATTAGCACATTCATAAATGCGTCAAAACTAAACACTCACGTCTAATGCATGGACAACTGTAATTCATTCCACGTAAGCACATAATACACCTAAGCACTTACGAATTTTCATTTCCGGATAATGATAGTCCCGAGGCGTTACTAGAGTTCCGTTGGAAACAGCAATTGATCAAGTGCCTTTCCAACAAGATCATAGAACCCAAGGATCCAATCAACATCCTAGAACTAAATCCCTACCCATATAGTCACATAAGCAGTTATCAATTTAAACACATAGCATACGACATTACATCCAAGTCTCTATCAAGCGAGACAAACCATTGTGATACTAATCACTTCCCACGTACCCAAAGTATTCAACCCGGTACGCTCTGATACCAAGTTTGTAACGCCCTCAAAATAATAACATTAAACTCATCAATAAAGACATGCATTGATACATAAAAACTCCACATTCCTCTATTCATCAGAGTTCCATTACAAAAAATATTACATGTTAACGACAAAAGCAAATGCCCTACGGGCTTACAGCTTTCCAAGTTAACACTTGGTTACAACAAAAGAGTGCTAACTATTTACACATTAAGCCCTTAGCTTGAATTTACATGTAATACATCAAAAGAAATAAGACAACAAAGTGTGTCCGCCTTAGCCTCCCAAGCTATGTCCTTGGAGGTGGCATGCTACCTGTACCTGAAAATGATATTCCCATATAGGGTGAGCACAGCCCAGTAGAAATACACTAAACCAAATATGAACAATGACTAAAAGATTAGCAGTTGATAGATGGCCAACACTACTATTTTTTTATCACACTATACATTTTCATGACATACAAGTCCATATTACCATTCATTTTCCAATTCCTTTCAAATTCTCAATCTTATAACCATGGCTCAGAACCTGGCCAAACAACTCATATGAGACAGTAACTCATATCAAGCACCTCCCATTACATAACAAATAAGCATACAAGCTATATCACATACTAACAGATAAGCATACAAAGCTATATCATCACTTCCAGATATGCATATGAGCACTTCACACTTCCAATGACAAGCATATGAGCTCTGTCAACACATCACTAGATAAGCATATGAGCTCTATCTACGGAGTCCATCCCCTATCTCCTCCCAACAACATCCGGTTTAGAGGTCCATCCCCATCTTCCCCTAAACCGCGGAGTACATCCCCTATCTCCTCCAACACAACACAATACATATAAACAATAATTATACACATCATCAACCAATACATAACATTTAATGTATTCATTCACCGTCATACTCAATGACACATTCCGGTGATTAGTTTTAGTTTGCCTAATCATCATGCATTGTCTACAACAACCAAGACTATCCTCTACCGATAGCCCAAAGCAGTTATTTCTATACAGAAAAATAAATGCAACAAATGGATATATAAAATCAACATTTCCAACTAGGTGAGCGATATAAAATCCAACTACACCTTTAATCCCATACGTTCCAATCTCAACATTTCCGATTCAATTTCTCATAATTAATTTCACAAATTAATTAACAATGTAATTAGGGCATTTTCCATAATTAACATTACAACCCTTAGGTTCCATTTTCATTAATTTTTTAACATTAATTCCACTTTTCTATGCCAAACATGCATCTAGGCTTTTATATAGTTAAAACCCCAACTTTGTAAATTTGCACAAAAGTCTCAAACTTTCACAAATTACTAAGCCAACCCCAACATCTCAAAATACTAAAATTTTAAAGACAAAGCTCATAAAGAGGAGTAGGATATCCCTACCTCAAAGTTTGAGCTCCAATGGAGATGAAGACCAAAACCAAAGTGCCTCAAATTCCGAAATTTTCAGATTAAAATGTAGCCCTCGACGATCAACACAACTTTCGTAAAGACCAAAGGCGAGCAAACAACTCCTACTAGATCAAATCTAAGAGAGAAGGGCCGTTTTAGAGTGAGAAGCTCTGAAAATGGCTTTTTGGAAAAGTAAGAGAGAGAAAAGATCTTGAAAAAGTGATCCAAAAGTCGAATCTCGGATTATATAAAAGTCCCCCGCTCGAGCGTCAAACTCCCGCTCGAGCGTCAC